TATCTATAGGAATACTTCCCACACACATATGAAGATTAACATATAAGAATTGTACATATATTGATGGTAGCATTGATTATTGATTTAAAAAACAACTTAAATATCCAAGCAAGGGGAATTGTTATATAAATTATGTTAATCTATATTATGAAATTCAATCATTCATTTAATAAAATTAATTTTATATGTTGACATGGCAACTTCTTTTTGGTATATTTTTAAAGGAGAACAAATGAATCACAGAACAAAAATATTTGGAATGATTCCATTAGGGATGAATGGATGTGTTTATGGACACGCAGACACACACACACAGACATGCACAAAATGATGCAAGTCCACACCATTAGCAACAGTCACTTGGCTATTTTTGAGAAGGAGACTGGAATAAGGTGGCAGTACTGCTAGAAGTGTTGATGAGGGTCTTTCATTTCCTACGATAAAAACTGTATGGTTTGATTTTATTCTGCACTGAACATGTCCTGGGTTTGTAAATTTTAAACCAACTTAAAACATAAAGCTAGAGAGCCACAGTCCCATGACTTTCTTGATCTGACAGCCGTGTAGCTCTTCACTTCACATTGTCTTACTGCCACAAGCAAATCTCAGTTATGTTCTGGACTAAACATAAATCATACAACTGAACTTAGCATTCTTCATGCAGTGGTGACATTCTCCAAAAATGTGAAAGGAGTCTGTTGCAGTGGATCCCCCTGTGTACTGAACATTTCAGAAATCGGTCGGGCTGGGGCAGCCACTTCTTCACACTGAAAGCAGATCTTGATGGCATCTTCCTAACAGAATGCTTCCTGTATGTCTTTGGCATGTATGAATCATTCAGTGGCATGGCTGTTTACATCCTGTGCCAACTCAGCTGACATGTAATTAACATCATGTCTTGACAGCCTGCTGTTCTTTGCAGCAACTTCAAGTCATGATTCCGACACATCGACAATAAGCAGTGAACATTTTGATACAAGGCCAGAACAACATAGATGCCTACTTCAGTTTCCAGTGCTGTCACATAGGAAGTGGCCTTCATGAGCACAGGATTCTCTAAGCCATCACACCCTCGCCATTTATTTAGTGTAGTAACACTGTTTTATACCTCACGAAATAAATGAGCTGCAGTCATTATTTATATATCTGTTTGTCCTCAGATCAACTGTACTTGTGTGTATCAATTTAATCACAGCAGTATGGCAAAGGAAATAAGAGCTTAGTCTCTACAGTCTGACAGAACTGGATGTGCTTGACTCTACCATATATTTCTGTACAACAATTTTCTTATCTATACAGTGGGAATAACAATAACACCGACTCTCCTAGGCTTATTCTGAGAAGTACCTAAGATAATTTATTAAAAGTGCTTCACATAAATGCTAGTCACAAAGTAATGGTTAATAAATACTAGATTAAATATAGCAATAATTATGTTATAGGTGAGTGCTTCAGGAATTTGCAGATGTATCAAAGAATGTATAATACCTGGGATATACAGTTATTTACATAGGCCTTAGCAGAATATAAAATAAAGAAATAATTCAGCATGGTTAAATCACAAATACCAAATTTTAAAACTATTAAATGGTTTTATTATAATGAACTACAATATATTAAGGTATCATAAGTACTTTACTCTGGTGATATCCTCCAAATTTAATATTAAAACACTGAAAACAAAAAAAATGAATAAGCAGCATATATAAGTTTAATTTTGGTAAGATTTCAAGCATATTCTTCAAAATCACTGCTCTTTCAATTTGGCTTGAACCAAAATTTACTTCATTAAAAAAAAAATTCATCGTCCCAGAAAACATTAAAAGCTATTTATTACTGTACTGACATGAGAATCTAAACAGGCACCAATACTAATCTTACTTAGAGGCAAAATAAACACTCAACATTAACAAGTAATTTATTTTCCCATTTTTTGACTTTGATTTAAATTGACATTTTACTCTGATTTAAATGTTTATATGTGAGTCTTTGAAAAGTCTTTTCACCTCAGTGGCTCCTCAAGTGTTCACTTTGAACAATGACTTTGCAGCTGGCCAAACGTGATTCTCAATCAATTTTTATGAGTACAAATTCTTGGGCTGATGGCTGGATCTCCAGCTCTATCACTCATATAATACATGCTCACAAGTGATGATGAGATTCACATTATCACCAGAGCACCATTCTGCTGAGGGCAGCAGCAGACACAGCAGGGGTATGCTGTCCTTCCTAGAAAAATGACTCTTTCACCTTTCAATAATGCAGCCTGCAGGTATGGACCTACAAGCTGTGTGCAGATAGATGAGAGCTGTCTTTAAAAATACTAATAAAAACTACCTGTTCCTCCCAATGGGCCATTCTTATTGAATCTCCATATATATCCATCTAGATTTGGAAGACTGTGCATTCAATTTGTCTTCCCATTACTCTTGGAATTGAATGGAAGATTCAGTTGTGTTTAAAACCCCCAAAAGTTGTCAGAGTACTGGCATGTACATCTCAATACATTTGGGCATGAGATGTATGTACATATATGTGTGTAAATATACAATGCTTAAACATGACTTAAAATTTTAAGATGATACCTCAGGTAGAATAAATCCGAATTCATTACAGTTTGGTGGTATTTTTCAGAAATTTTAATTATGGAGCATATGGGTTTACCTATTTTAACTTAAATTGGGTTTTGCCTTTTAAAATGTAAAACACATATATTTGTTACTGGAAGAACTTTTAGCTCCCCAAAGACAATTAATCATTCCCCAAGGCATACTAATTAACAATCTCAAAGTATTCCAATTCCTTCTTTCATTTCTAAACTCTCTATGGGTGACAATCAAAGTATAAATGTTTGTCCTGCAACTTTTGATTCTTGTAATCATGTGCTAGAAAATAAGGGGTAAAGGATTACTTCAAGCGTTACCTGGCTAAAAGCAAAAGGTGATCATTTGACCTCCCAACACTGCTCTACGAAATCCTAATATTTGTAGTAAGACTGTCAGTATATTAGAAACTCTTCTAGCCTACTATCACTTAACCAGGTCTCCAGACTAACAAACACACAAGCATCCTCCACTCACTCTTTAAAACATAGTGACCAATGCAAATCACATGTTGAACATTTGTGGTTACTGGGTTACATTCGCATGTTCTCTAGTATGTGTTTCCACCAGTTAAACTCTACGCTTGCTTAGAGTCAGCTGGGTTTGTTCCCAAACTAGTTTATGCCAATTACACTGTCTATTGAAATTACTGAATAAAAGGAGATTCTACATAAATATATGAAATATAACTAAAAAGGAAGTTCCTGTTTCTATAAAAAATCAAGTGAATGCTTTAGAAAGACTTGACACAAAAAACCACTAACACAAACTTGTCAAATTAGATGTGGGTGAGACATCTGTAAGACAGAAATAAAATCAAAATGTCCAGAAAGATCTCCACTCAAACTGCTTAGTAAATGCATTTAAGTTCTTGCACCGATTTAAAGACACTAAACCTTAAAACTGTAGAAAATGCCTTACGGGGGTACTTTTTGGAGGACAGATCACCCAGAACTCATAACAGGGGACCTGTATTCAGAGCAAACCTTTGGGCTCTATATTGAAATACTGACTCTGTGTTTGTGCGTGTGTGTATCTTTTATTAAATTCATTGAACAACTATATTAGTTCTAATCACAATAATAAAAGGTTACATTTTAGCTAGGAAAAAAAATAGGCTGGCTGTTAGCCACTTAGATAAAAATAATTTGACTGAATTTTTACACTTTTCATGAAGTTACTATGCTATCATGGGACATCAACAAAGTAATTTTATCCAGCAATTGCTGGATCTCTGTATCTCTCCTTCACCTTTCAATAATGCAGCCTGCAGATATGGACCTACAAGCTGTGTGTGCATAGATGACAGCTATCTTTAAAAATACTAATAAAAAAATAAAATAAAATAAAAATACTAACAAAAACCACCCAGTTCCTCCCAATGGGTCACTCTCATTAAAATTTCCATACATATCCATTTTGATATGTATAGAAGCAAGCAAATAATTGCAAATGATAGAAGACAGCAAGTGGTAATGTTGCTTTCTTGGTATTTCACCTTGTCATTCTGATCTAGCCCAGTTGAGCTTACTTAATGTATGGTATGAATCAATGAGATTTTACAGACTGTTTTGTGCTAAGAATTCCAAGAGTGATTCTCTTTTCACATTTTTCCATTGAGAACAAAATAGCTTGGATTTATTATGGAATGGAATGACTATTTTTATAAAATTATTCTTTAATGTAAATTTAACTTAATGAGTATATTCTATGAGCAAAGGTTATTCAAGATTAAAAAAAAAGTAAGCCAAGCTGCATAGTCCAACCATTTGTCCATGTTCAGAGTCCAATCAAAAATACACCAGTCAAGTTGATTTTAAAACATATTTATGTTAATAAATGATATATGTGGTATATTTGTATAAAAATGAGTGATTTTATGAATTATGGTTTATCTATACGAGTAAAATATCAGAATGATGCAGCAATTGTCAAGGTTAGTCTTGGCATCCTTTCAGAGGATCTGCAAGGTCAAACCTATTTTAATGGCAATATTTAGAAATTATTTGCATTTGTCATACTTATCCATGAGTGTACAATGGAATTTTCCAGAGGCTACATTTCATCTGATATTGCAACAAATCGAGTGCAGAAGCTGATATGAGAATACAGCTACATTCTATTAAGCCACATGGTAAAGAGATGTGTAAAAGCATAAAACAACTGACATTTATTTCACTAAATTCTTTGTCTTGGAAATTAGTTATTTTACATAAAAATGTTATTTGTGCTAGCCTGTAATGAACTTACTACTTTTATTTTAAAATAAATTAAATATTTTTAAAATTCTCAATTTTAATTTCTAATTCAGAAAATATTGATATACATTACCACATCAACAAAAGTTTGAGAACTGCTGTTTTAGAGTGAATATGTAACAGGAAAAAAATGACTAACCTGAACAAGAACAAAGTAACGTTTTTTCCATCTTTTCCAAACCTTCTGTCCAAGGGCATACAGATATCTGGTAAGAAAAACAAACAAGCAAAAGGACACCTTGCATGAGCAATGTTGTGGTTCCGTGTAATCATATTTCTTCCACAGGTATTTATTTTTGAAACCAGCCTGCTAAAGGCAAAGTTTCGTTCATTTGGAATCTGAGACAACATGCAGCTTCTGTGTTACAAAACGACTGAGCTTATTCTAGGTTCTTGAAAGGGGATTGATTTATGTGGCTTATCAATTTGTCAGTCCTTACCACAAATTGAACGAAGTAGGAGTTAGAAAGGATAATCAAAGAACCAGTTGGAATTTTATTTTTACACACACTTCTTAGGAGAGACAAAGGCTATGAATTGAGAACAAGGTACTAAATGCTTCAGTTCTCAGACAACCAGAGCTGAGTAGTGTGGCCTGAGAAGGAGCCAGCTGTAGAGTCAGGAATCCAGGGTGAAGGGTCACTGTCCAGCTGGGTGGCCCTGAGATGTGTCTGCACCAATCTGGGTTTCCATTTTCTCACCTATCAAATGAAAAGATGGGTTTGCTGATTTCTAAGGTCTCCACCGGCTCCATCATTTGGGGATTTACCTGATTAACAGAAGCATATTGCTGCAAAGTTTTTAAATTATGATGTTCAGATAATAATAAAGATGACATTGTATAGTTTAACACTGTTTCAACCATGCCTTTTTAAATTCACATCGACATTAGTAAACTGAACTGAAATGACTAAAGTAGTCAATAATTTGAGAATATTGTTCTTGCTGAATATATAAATGACACACTGAACTATCAGGGAAGAAAAAGGAAAAACTATAAATTAATCAAGCATGAGCTTGTTGTGGAGAGCTGTTTTAAAATCATGCCATGAAACTACACACACACTTCCTACAAAAGTGGAAAACATTGTTAGAAGCTTAAAATATGACAAATAGAGGACTAATTTCAAAATTAAAGAAAGATTTTAAAACATTTTTCACAATCCTTTTTTCTGAAGTGAAGGTTTAACAGTGTAGAGTCTATTCCAACTAAATTTATATACAATCCTGAGTGATGAGAAAAAGAGCATTATGGTTAACAATTTATTGAGGGGCTTAAAATCCTAGACTTCTCTCCCAACTTTTAAACCTAAAATCTTAGCTTAAGTTTTTAGTTTCTGTCTTATTAAAGTATTCATAATTCTCTTTGGCAAAATAAAACAAACATACTTTTGTTCCCTGTAAAAACAGTAACATGGGATGTTGGCTAAAGTGTGATAAAACGAATGGGCACTATTATTCACTTGTAGTGGGAGTGGTACGTGAGACCACCTTCCCATAGGATAACACGGCAGTATGAAGAAAAAGTCCTACATTTTCACTCTAAAATTATTAAGGTAATAATTAGAGGTACACATAAAATTGCATCCTACATAGATACATAGAACAAAGTTATTTATATTATTGAAAACTGATAGCAACTTAAATGTCCAACCATAGGGGAATTATTTAAAAAATGTCAGCATATTTGCAGAAATACTACACTGCCACTGAAATGATGTTTTGGTAAAATTAATAACATAGAGAATATCTCACTATATAATGTTATGTGAAAAGAGCAAGATTCAAAACTACACACATACTTAATGATTTGGAACTTATAAAATGTATAAATATTCCAAAATATTAGTATTTTAGAATGGTGAAATTATGGCAGATTTAAATTTCCTTCTTTATGCCTGTGTTTTCTAAACCTTCAGAATCAGGAAAAAATATGGCTTACTAAAAGTCAAAATGAAAATAACTAGACTCTTGCATTGGAAATCATCACCCAAACAGCCGAAATCAATTATATATTTCCTTTCAGACATATTGGCTAGCTGAAGTGAACAGTGAGCTTCTACGGTCTCATGATGCCCTTAATACCATCGTCTGTGCCTGTGGATGTAATGTGAATTTATTTAATGCCTGGCAGAGACGTCTACTGCTCTTGTTCTCACCTGTTCACTGTTTTTTCTCAAGGTCCCCTTAAAACCCTTTGCCCCACCTTTGCTCTAGCCTCTAATTTTTCTTCTGTGGTTCTAGCAATGTGTTTAGCTGCTCTCTTTCTGTCTTTCCCATGTAATTTCCCCTCTCCTGAAATGCACACACCCAAACTCCTCTTACAGGGCTAACAGCAATGACCTCTTGAGCTACATACTGTGGACGTGATAGTTGCCCTCCATAAAAGTACACTAGCAAGATGTGCACTAAATAGCTGCCCAGGATCCACAGAGGGCATATGGAATAACCTCTCTGTGACCACAGCATGCTTCTCAGCTCTTTCAAAGTGTCTCACATTGCAGACTGCTGAGACTGCTGGGCAACTGGGTCATACACAAGAGAAAATGAATAGTGATATGCAAACCATCAACACCATAAGACAGTGTCACTCTTGCTGACAGTGAAGGTCCTGCATAAGGAATAATAGTCAGCTGCAACATCATTCAAAATGATGGATTAAATTTGGAATGAAAATGTATGGTCTCTCCAAAGACAACAAGCAGAGGGGTGGGTGGATGGATGCATATATGTTGATTTGGGGATTGGTGGAAGATGTTATAAGAAACAGAAGAGAAAATTTAGAACTGGCACCAAGGTAAGTATATGAATGTCAGGCCTTGAAATATTCTGGGCTGTTGCACTATAAAAAAGAACTAAGTTGAAAATATACAGAAGTAACAACAGGCCAAAAGTATCCTTAAGTGTTTTACTGGCCATAGAATTTTACTGGCTCCGCGCATAAGAAAAAAGAAACAATATTCAACAAAAGATTAAGTGCCTATGAGGAAATTTTTAAAATGCTATACAGAAAAAAATATATATATATAATAGTTTCTGCCCCCTTAAAGTTTTCATATTAGCCAGACAAAATTCTGATGCAAAAAAAGGACATGAATAAAACACATCAGAAAAGATAATCATACAGAATAAGAATACATTAATTTTAAGTTCAAATTTGAGTTTTTTTCACTATAAGGATCGGTTCTGGTATTAAGTACCAAGTATCACTCTTTTTTCTCGGGCATAAAATCAGATTCTTGGCATAAGAGATGCACTTAAAAATGGGGGATTAGTGAAGAAAAATAGCTTATCAATATTGTTTAAGAGTAAAAACCAAAAACAACTGAACAGTAAGGAATGATTAGGTTGCTATTAAAAATGATAGCAAAAAATAATTACTAGTGACATGGAAAAATTCTTTTACCATTAAGTTAATAAAGTGCAGTCACAGAAGCAAGGGAGAGGAGGAGGAGGTTGGCCAATGGGTACAAAGTTACAGTTAGACAGGAAGAATAAGTTCTACTTTCTATTATACAGTAGAGTGATTACAGCTAATAACGATGCAGTGTATATTTCAAGACAGCTAGAAGAAAAAATTTTGAATGTTATCACCACAAAGAAATAAGTGTTTAAAGTGATGGATATGCCAATTCCACAGATTTGATCATTATATAATGTATACATGCATTAAAACATCACATTGTACACTATAAATACATACAATTATTATGTGACAATTATAAATTTAAGAAATAAGTTAAAAAAATATTTTTTAAAAGCAGTCACAGAAACTCATATCACATGCCTGGAAAAAAATCCAGAAAAATACAACAAAATGTTAAATGTGTAGTTAATATCTGGCTGGTGAAATTAAAGATCGATTTCATATTCTTCATGCCTTTCTGCATTTTCACAATTTTCACATTTACCATGTCTTCTTTTTTTTCTTTTTAGTAAGGTTTGTTGGTATAGTTCACACAAAGTAAAATTCACCTATTTTAGGTATACAATTTGATGAGTGTTGACATGGTCGTGTAACTACCACCACAATCAACTGGCAGAACATTTCCACCTCCCCAAAAGTCCCCACATACCCTTTATGATCAATCCCCTCCTCATTTCCCCACCGATTTTCTTTCTGACCTAACAGTTTTTCATTTTCCAGAATATCATATAATTGGAATTATACAGTATGTAGCATTTTGTGTCTGACTTCATTTGTTTAGCAGAATGCTTCTGAAATTCATCCACATTGTTGCATGAGTCCATTCCTTTTAATGGCTAATCAGTCTATTCCATTGTATAAATTCTCTTCAGTGTGTTTATCCATTCACCAGTTTCTAGACATTTGAATTGTTTCCACTTTTTTGGATATCGTAAATAAAGCTACTATGAACATTCATATACAAGTCTTTGTGTAGGCCTATGGATTTATTTCTCCTGGATAAATTCTAGGAGTGGGATTTCTGGGTCATACTGAAAGCGTATGTTTAACTTTATAAGAAACTGCCAAACTGTTTTCCAAAGTGTCTGTACCATGTCACATTACTACTAGCAACGTATGAGAGCATATCTTACTTTTGTAGTCAGAATACAATGACTGTTATTAAATATTTTGGGAAGGGGGTCGCTATGACTCTATAAATACTTCTGGTTTGAGTAAGTTGAATACCTAGACGACAGAGATAAGGGCCTTTGTCTTTTTATCTTGAGTACAGTGGAGAACCCTATTAGCTTTCATGGCTAAATGGGCTTTCCACATTTCAAGGCCATTCTCAAGTTTAGGAGTTTGGACCCATCTAACTTCTTTATAGTTGAATGGTCCTGTTACCTTTGGGAGGGCTGGAGTGTAGAGCGAATGAGGAAAAAAGGAGCCAAAATAATGTGAATATTTGTTAACCATCATATTACCCATTTATTAAATAATATCTGTAAAAATCAAAATGCATTCTCTTCCAACCCATCTTTATGCCTAACATTGCTATTGAATCACTATTCAGTTCTCTTAATGTTCAGTCTTAGGTTCTAAGTTATTTATTTTATGATATCTATGGCTCAAAAGATTTCTTTATTTCAAAAAAATATATGAAAGTTATACTTAACTTGTTATTATGTTGTATTAGGTAATAGATTCTGTTCATTATACTGACATAGCAATGTTTGAGTATCCTTAATTACTGAAAAACGAGTGGCTCTCCACAGAATGTATCTATAGCTACAATTA